TCTCTCTCTCTCTCTCTCTCTCTCTCTCTCTCTCTCTCCCTCTCTCTCTCTCTCTCTCTTTCTCTCTGTCTTTAAACAAAAATTATAGATATAGACTCTAAAATAAAATAAATTAGTTAAATTGAATTACATACATATAAGAAAATCATTACTGCATTTTCCTGAATGATAACAGTGTGTACTTTTAGAAATACTGGGATCAAATATAAAATTCTTTATTCTACATCTTGCTATTAGTCTATGCTTTAATCTTTATTTTTAAAATTACTAATGGATATTTTGTGCAGTTAGCTTCAATCTTCTATAAATAAGTTGATAATTGAATTATTTTTTTTCTGAAGGCAACTGATCGAGAGGGAGACTCAATAACATATGCTATTGAGAATGGCGATCCTCAGCGAGTTTTTAATCTTTCAGAAACGTAAGTTCAAAATGAAATGATTTATAACTTGAATCTTTTTTTGTTTAGTGTTAAATATTGTACTGTAACCAAGAAAACAGACTGCTAATCAAATGCTTTCAGCTGTTTGTAGTATTATTTTACTTTTTTTTTTCTATGAATGTTAATGAGAGCTGGGAGGATATTTCTGAACTCAGATATCTTGCTCAGGAGACTATCTATTTATTTTAAACATTTTTACTAAGTAAAGTCCACTGAGGTGGAAATTTCCATTTACAGGTATAACCTGGGATTAATTATATGCCTTTAAAGCCGTCAACTAGTCATAATGACAAGGACATTTCTACAAAGAGTAACTTAGCACTAAACTGATCATTCAAAGGGTATCTCAAAAGTTGTGTCACACATGCTTAAATTGAAACATGAGTTCATTCTTTAATTTCTGATTAATGTAGATAAAGTTTAGATAAGCATCATTTTATTTAACACTCTGAAAACATCAGAGATATTTATCATCATAACTATTGGGAAAACTGGGAGCAATGTGACATTGAAAGAAGGAAGCTATTTTGAGTTCCAGAGAGATCATTTGCTTCCCTTCTGCAATATCAAGATGGTGCTCTGACTTCTTATATGTTTGTTAAAGAACTGAGCTTGATTCCTCTCTGGCATTTTGTTTGTGAGTGTGTTTTACTTACTGGAAGAATGGAACTGCAAACTTAACCCATGATTTTAAGAAGAAAACTTGAAAAATTATCTAGCCACTACTTCGGTGTCTAGAACACTCAGTACATAAGGCCAAATCAAAAAAGCCATGTGTGAATTCCTAGGTCTTTTGAGGAACAACTGCAGTCTTACATGGAATAAGATTTTATGACCACAAAGTAGTAATGCTGTGGAAACTGAAGACAATAACAGTATTTTTTAGACTTTAGATTCCAAAGATAAATAAGTTTCTATTTTAAAAATGTAAAGTCCTAACCATTTGAAGTTTCCCCACAGGGACATCAAAATCATAAATTAGCTACATTTTATGGTTAATATTAAATAAAGAAAACTATTTCAAAGGGAATCATAAAGGAAACATGAAAACAGACATATAGATAGCTGGGATAGACTTAAGGATTCATATAGCATCCTTAACATTTATGTCCACTTGGTTGACAAAACAGGACCAAAGTTGATCCAATCAGGAAAGAATTATCTTCAACTAATGAAGTTGGGACAACACTCCAAGGAATGAAGTTAGATCTCTGCCTCACATCATCCACAATAATTAACTGAAAGTGAATTTCAGGCCTAAATATAAGAGATAAAAAACTAGCTCCTACAAGAAGATACAGAAAGAAATCTTCATTATATAAATTAGCCATAATTTTTAGGTATTAGACAATATAAATAAATTATTTCTGAGATGACATATTGCATTTTATCAATTTAAAACTTTTTTTTCAAGTGGCAACATCATGAAGTCAAAGACAACCCAAACACATCACAAACTTTAAATAAAATAATGTATATGATAAGAATCATACACATTACTTTATGATGATAAGTATCATGAACACATAAAGAACTATTATAACTCAAAAATAAAAAGAGTAAAAATTCAATTAAAAATGGGAAACAATTTGATTACACTTTTCTGCAAAATATATATGTAGGGTTAATAAGCAAATAGAAATATGCTCATAGTTGCTAGTCATTATGGAAATTAAAATTAAAAATTTGTAAGATAACCCACTTTGCACATACTTTAGAATGAAAAGCAAAGACAGTAACAGTATGGGTAAAAATGTGGAGACACTGGAATACTCATATATTTCTGATGAGACTGTAAAATGTGCACTTTGGAAAAGTTCAGCATTTCCTCCAAATGTTAAAAATGGGAGGTACCACATGACCCAGTACTTCTACTCACATGTACTCAAGATAAGTCATACAGTTCAATTAAACTACGCATCAGAATGTTCATAAAAATTATTTATATTGACAAAAGTACCCAAAACTCAGATGTCCATCTACAGATAAACAGATTAACAAAATGTCATATATCCACACAATGGGATATTATTCATTGATAAAAGAAAATCGATTAGTAAAATATGCTATAACATGGATGAACCATGAAAACATAATGCTAAGTAAAATAAGTTAATTACAAAACAGAATGTGTTATATGATTTCTTTCATATGGAATGTCCAGGATAGGCAAAAGTGTGTAGGCAAAACGTAAACTATTGCTTGTCTGAGAATAGGGCTGGGAAAGGAGGAGTGGTAGAATGAAATAATTGAATTTGTGACCAAACCTTTCAGGCCCCTTCACTTCATGTAATGTTTCCAAGATTCTTCGATTTAGTAGAGTGCCTCGGTTCTTAACTGCTTTTCCTTTTTGCCTAATATTCCATTGTATGTATAAATAACAGTTTATTCATTTGTAAATTAATGCACATTTGGGATGTTTTGATATGTTTGGGTTGTTGTGAATGCTGCTGTTATGAACATATATATACATGTGTTTAAGTACATGGTTTTAGGGTTTGGGGAGTATATACTCAGGAGTAGAACCACCAGTATTGTTAATATATGAACTTGCAAAAATTGTTATTTCCCTAAAAGCAACCCGATGTATCCTGGCCCACCTCCATCCAGTTCTTAGTAAGACTCCCCCTTGCCAGGTATTTCTGAAATTTCAAAAAAGGATGCTCCTTTGTACCCATAAACTAGTCTTGCAGAAATGAAAATCAAAAAACACTACCTATATTTTCTTTTTCTCCATCTCCCAAATGTCCCATTCACCCCTTCAACTCCATGTAATGATGGATCAGAAGGAGGCAGACATCATCTTAAGAAATAACTATCTCTATTGTAATCACCAGACCACGAAAAATTAGCTATTTAGTAAAAACAGAGAGTCCTAAATAGGAACACTATATAAATGTCTAATTGTTTTCTAATTTAATAGAAGGAGAAATATAGGGATATAAAGATCTTATAACAATAACTTAGTTTTCTTTCTTTCATTACACTATTGCATGTTTTTCAGATTTCCTCTTTCTTAAGTTAAATGTGACTAAATCTCAAAAACAATAATTGTCTTTGTTTACTCTTTGAATGCCATTGTGGAATGAGATTATCTCAACTATATGCAGTGTAGAACTTGATACAAACCTGATTATTATGAACATACTCTGGGAATTGGTTTTCAGTTATTTTGACAAAGCATTTTTTTAAATGTACAAGAAGCAAAGTAAGTTTTTCATAGTCATATGTTGAGAATTATTTTAAGTCCACTTCAAGAACAACAAAGTAAGTGGAGTTACTAAGGCTCTGATTTTGACTGATTATCTGTAACTCACTTACCACATGTGGTATGAATTGTTGAAATTTTACTAGTACGTTAATATCACTCATTCTAAAATGAAGCATTTTTATCAATCAGAAAAAAATATGCTTTTATACTTTATAAATATTTTAGTGTTTTATTACATTAAAATAAACTTCTTCAGTAGATGCTTGTTAGGGATTCATGAAGATGTCATGCGCAGTATCAGATTGTAAAATCTAGGAAACTCATGCTGAACTTGTTACAGAAAGCAATGCAAGTGACCAAACTCTTTTAAGAAATTACATTAAAATAAGCATTAAATATTTGACAGCATTTATTCTACACAGAGAAAAAGTAAGAAGTGGTATTAAACTTTTTTAAAACATAAGTATTTACTAAATGCTGCACATATTTCATTATTTATAAGTTAAGAATCCTAATTTTAAAAAATAAAAGTAATAAAATTGTGACATCAACAGAAGAGTTTTATTTATATTATAAAATGAGACAATGATTTACTAATTACATTCTACTAGAAAGAATGTAAAATATACAGCCTGATTCTGCTTTTGGAAATAATTATGTATTTAAATTTGGTCAAGCAAGAAAATAATAGAAATATTAAAAAAATAACAATAACATCTAAATTTTTAAAAATTCTTTATTCTGGTTTCCTACAAAGAGCTTGCATTATTTTTAAATTAGGAAGGAGAAAATGTACTTTTATCCATAGAATTTGTCAAGATAAATTCAAGTGTTTTGCGATTCCACAATGAGCACATATCTGTGACAATGAATGAAAAGGTTATATAGATTATTTATAAGAAAGCATTTCTTGACTCAAAGAATTGTGAGACTGCTAAGGAGTAATGGAGTGTTTTACTTTTGAAATAATCACAAGTAAGATATATATCTTTCTTCCAGGAATGAATTAAGCATAGTTTAGCTTTATTTGATATTTTCTCCCTAGGAGCTAGAGAATCAGCTCATTTATCTTATTCATTTTGCAGTTTATCATTGTTTCTAAGAAACTTGACAGCCTTAAAAACCTTTTTTCAATTTTCAACATGAATTCTAGTATTATACATCTTAAATACTCAAACCATGATTGCCAAGAGGTGGGGAGAAATGGTGAAAAGTGGTAAGTAGTAAGAAGACACAATGTGACATAATATTTTTCCTTGTCTTTCTGTTTTCTCTGCCACTAGCACAGGGATTCTCACCTTAGGGAAAGCACTGGACAGGGAAAGCACCGATCGCTACATTCTGATTGTCACAGCTTCAGATGGCAGGCCAGATGGGGTAAGTATGCTAGGTGGGAAAGGTCTTTCAAAATAGTTTTAAAGAAATTTAGAGTCTTGCCATATTACAATTAAAAAAAAATATGTGTGACCTTCATGAATTAATACTCATTTTTTTTTAACCTAGAACATCTTAAAATTAACAGAAGTGCATGTATACTCTAAACGTGTTCTGGTATTGCAACCTTTGACCTAGAAGAACAGATACTTGTGATCATTATTCTTCCCCCAACTTACATGAAAAATGAAATCTCCTTTATACTAACAAATATTGTACCTATCACTGGAACAGCACTGTAAGATTGGTTCTCATAGTTCTTCCATGTTGAAACCTTTGTCCCTTAACATCAATTCTGCAGAGAGAATTGGGAGATGGATTTTTTGAACAAATATGGTTAAGCTCTAAGAAAATTGATTTGATTGATTTCATAGGCATTTGTTAATATCAGTCTGAATCCTAAGTAATTCATGAAGGTCACAGTGGCTTAATGGGCCCCATAAATTCTTTCCTCTGGATATAAAAATCTGTTTTGTTTTTTTCTGGTGATTGAATCAAGGAACTTGCTCATGCTGGGAATGTGCTCTACCACTGGGATGCATCCCCAGTCCACTGGAATGTTTTAAAATCACTTATTTATGTTCTTTGAAGGTCCTGTTCCCAAATACCATATACTAATTTCTAAGCATTATACTATTCCCATCATTGGTAAGTGCTCTTCACCACCATATTTATACCATGAGCTTGGTTTTTTTTTTTATTTTCTTTAGCCAAGTAATTATAAGCCAAGTCACTACGGATGTCTGGAAATAATTCAAAACCAATATAAATGAATAAGCAAGGCTCACACAACTGAAATAGCAGCATATCTCCAGTTTACTTGAAATGACTTCTTGGATTTGTATGATTCCTTGGCTGGGGCATAATAGAATGCACTTCTCACATTTACTTGAGTACTTGTAAGAAATATTACCATGATAAAAACATATAAATTTGATACTTGGATAGTTTTATAATCTTAATTAAAAGTGAGAAAAATAGGAAATATTTATTGAGTTTGGAAATTACAATCTCTAATAACAAACTATTTGACATTTTCAGAGGTTAGATACAATATTTTTCAGAAAATAGAATATACAGACCAGTTTTAGGAAATAGTGGGAACAATAGAACTGCTGTAGATAATAGAAAATTTTGGAAGAAAATAAAAACCTAAGATTAATTTCTATAAATGCCATGTCCTTGATTTTTATAGAGTGTCTGTATTATATGCAGGTAGAAAACTCAGTGAGAGTCTCTGGAAGGGAAGAACTTGACTTATAATGAAAGTTTAAGGGAAAACTTGACTGATCTCTAGCAGAGAGGGATAATTCTAAGAAAAAGGATAAGGAGTATTTTATGTGATTTTTTTGAGGCTATTGTAAATGGGGTAGTTTTCCTGGTTTCCCTTTCTGAGGATTTGTCACTGATATACAGAAATGCCTTTGATTCATGGGTGTTGATTTTTATATCCTGCTACTTTGTTGAATTCATTTACTAGTTCTAGAAGTTTTCTGGTGGAACTTTTAAGGTCTTCTAGGTTTAGAATCATATCATCAGCAAATACTGCCAATTTGAGTTCTTTATTTTTCCCTATGTATATCCCTTTAATTTCTTTTGTCTAATGACTCTAGCCAGTGTTTTAAGGACTATGTTAAATAGAAGTTGTGAAAGAGGGCATCCTTGTCTAGCCCAGTTTTTAGAGGGAATGCCATCAATTTTTCTCCATTTAGAATGATGTTGGCCTGGGGCTTAACACAGGTAGCCTTTATGATGTTGAGATATGTTTCTGTTATACCTATTTTTTCTAGTGTTTTGAACATAAAGGGTGTTGTATTTTGTCAAGTGCTTTTTCAGCATCTATTGAGATGATTATATGATTCTTATCTTTAAATCTATTGCTGTGATGAATTACGTTTATTGATTTCCATATGTTGAAGCAACCTTGCATCCTTGGGATGAATCCCACTTGATCATGGTACACAATCTTTTTGATATGTTTTTGTATTCTATTTGCCAGAATTTTATTGAGAATTTTTGTATCTATGTTTATTAGAGATATTGAGAAAAAGTATTCATAAAATTTATCTGGAAAAATAAGAGACCCAGAAGAGCTAATGCAATCCTTAGAAGGAAGAGTGAAGCAGGTGACATCACTATAACAGACCTTAAACTATACTACAGAGCAATAGTTAAAAAAAAAAGCAGCATGGTATTGGCACCAAAACAGACTGGTATACCAGTGGTACAGAATGCAGGACACAAAGACTAACAAAGGTGTCAAAAACCTGCATTGGAGAAAAGATAGCCTCTTCAACAAACTGGAAATCCATATGCTACAACATGAAATTAAACCCCTATCTCTCACCATACAGAAAACTCAACTCAAAATGGAACAAGAACTTAGGAATACAACCAGAGACCCTGTGTCTAATAGAAGAAAAAGTAGGCCCTAATTTCATCATGTGGGATTAGGCCCCAACTTCCGTAATAAGACTCCTTTGGCAAAAGAATTAAAACCAAGAATCAATAAATGGGATGGACTCAAACTAAAAAATTTCTTCTCAGCAAAAGAAACAATTTGTGAGGTGAATAGAGAGCCTACATATTGGGAGCAAATCTTTACCCTTCACACATCAGATAGAGCACTAATCTCTAGGGTATATAAAGAACTCAAACAGGTAAACACCAAAAAAATAAATAACCCAATAAATAAATGGGCCCAGGACCTTTAACAGACACTTCTCAGAAGATGATATACAATCAATCAACAAATATATGAAAAAGTGTTCATCATCACTAGCAATTAGAGAAATGCAAATCAAAACCACTCTAAGATTTCAACTCAGTCCTGTCAGAATGGCAGCCATTATGAAGAAAAAACAACAATAAATGTTGGAGAGAATGTGGGGAAAAAGGCACACTCATACATTGCTGGTGGGACTGCAAATTGATGTAGTCAATATGGAAAGCAGTATGGAGATTTCTTGAAAAAATAGGAATGGAACCACCATTTGACCCAGCTATTCCTTTCCTTGGTCTATACCCAAAGGACATAAAAACAGCATACTACAGGGACACAGCGACATCAATGTTTATAGCCTCACAATTCATGATAGCTAAACTGTGGAACCAACCTAGATACTCTTCAGTAGATGAATCAATAAAAAAAATGTGACATATATACACAATGGAATATTACTCAGCAATAAAAGAATAAAATCATGGCATTTGCAGGTAAATGGATGGAGTTAGAGAAGATAATGCTAAGTGAAGTTAGGCAATCCCAAAAAAAACAAATGCTGAATGTTTTCTCTGATATAAGAAGATGATTCATAGTAGGATAGGAAGAGGGAGCATGGGAATAGACAAACTCTAGATAGGGCAGAAGGGTGAGAGGAGAAGGGAGCAAGCATGGGGTTAGAAATGATGATGGAATGTGATGATCATTATTATCCAAAGTACATGTATGAAGACACGAATTGGTGTGAATATTCTTATATACAATCAGAGATATAAAAAATTGTGCTCTATATGTATAATAAGAATAATAAGGCATTCTGCTGTCATATATAAATAATTAATTAAAATAAGAAAAAAATGGCAAGGCATTATTTAGTACTGAATAGGGAATAGAGTATACTTAGAGGAAGTGAAGTAAAGAAAGAACATTCAGGTCAACCATTACATGAAAAAATGAAGGATAACACAAAGTTTTAAGATATGTCACATAGTAAATGAGAAATTAGTGGCAATATGTTATCTAGGACACTTTAAGTCTTGTCTTAGTAATAAAATTTCTTAGACAAGAAGAAACATAGGAATTAGAATATATATATCAATGTCTGGTATAGTCACAATCTACTAATTATGAAATTGCTCACTCAAAAACAAAATAAATACTAGTTTAAAATTAATGATTTCATTCTCTGTAGGGCATTTTAAATTGATTTATTTGTATATTTCAATTCTTCTTGGCCAAATATTCTAGCATTTCTAGACCTCCAATCTCTCAATCTTATGACCATTACAATTTCTCAATATTGATAACAATTATGATCATAAAGCAAAGAATTTTAGCTTTAACAGTTTATTCTTTTTGAAAAAATATTTGTTTACTTAAAACAATTATTGAGAATATTTCAGAGAAGGAAATGTAGATTTCAAAGAAAAAAGTTTCTTCAGGTAATTTAATCACTTATATAAAATTTTAGAGTCATATTATTATGTGAACATGTTTAATAGGTTCCTGAAGTAGAAGTAATTATAAAATAATATTCTCATGATAGCATTTTTTAAACTAAGAATTTAAACTGTATGCTTCATAGAGTTATAGCAAAATAATCCTTCTAACCTTTATAATCATGAATTTTAAGATAAAGTTTTAATGAACACAGACCATAAATTATTGGATTTTAAACAAAATGATACTAGAGATTTGCATGAACAAATTTTTCAGGGTAAATTTGGAAGTTTTGTTTGTTTCTTTTTTTCATAAAAAGTCACCTCTCCCCACTCACCCTAGAATGGAGAAGAAAACACACTGTATTTTAGGTCCTTATGAATTTTTTTTTTCAAAATTTGATTTGACATTCTCACATTTTCCCCTTTAATAAATTTACTTTGTTAAAAACAGTTGAAAAAACTATTAGTTAAATATAATTTTATAATTTAATATTATAAGTATTTAAACATCTTTAGCTATCACAAATACAGATAAAATCATGTTTTTTATATTTTTATAAATACTTTTATTTATTTGAAATTATTGCAGATTTTTGAAGTTGTCAAATTCCTTATGGGAACTTGACAGTTCTTCTTAAAATATTTTCACAGTTTTGCTGAAACAGACTTTGCTTGAACATTTATTTATGTATGTTAGTTTTTTAAATTATTACATCTTACCTAATCTATTTAGAGTAATATCTTGTAGGAAAGTTCCCACATGAATATACCTTTCTTAA